GTTGAGTTGAGCTATGAATTTCATTTTGCGTTCATTAGTAATACTTTGTGGTATCGAATCGATCCTGAAGTCGGCAAAGACGACGTCTGTGCATGTTCTCCTGCTGGTTGTTGGTTGTTTCCTGTCACGCGAAATGCATCGTAGAGCATATCGAAACGTTATATATTGCACAAGTCAGTCATTGTCTCCGTGATCGTCGTAATCATCTTAATGGTCATCAGCGTTGTCTCGGCTACGGCGTACGCCAACGCCGCCAACGGAGAAACCTCGACCTCAAGGAGCTTCGCCCCTTAAAAAAGAAAAGAAAAGAAAAGCATTTGCTTTTAGATTTTTGGTGCGTGTTAAATATTATCAGCCTTTCAATACGATTCCGGAGTCTCGCATTGCGTCATGCGTCGTTGTCATATGGTAGTTTTGGCACGTAAAGCCTCCGGTGTTTTTTTTTTTTTTAGCGTTGGCCTCTCGTGTTGAGGACAAGTATACATTAGACACGTGGCTAAAGTTCGGGTTGTTTCGTATGGGTTACACTGAGAACTAGCTTACGCAAGTTCGTAGTTTTCAGCCGTGATGTCAGACTAAATTGTACTGTTCTTTAATTGATGATTTGGCACCATTCGCAAACAACATTCTAGTCACACTTTCGAATTATAGTGAAATATCTCTACGCAGTCTTTTCTTCTTTCTTCTTAAAGTTATTTTTACTAAGTTACCATCCTCGTTCACTTTTTTTCTCTACAGTCGTGCTTGTGTGCTTGTAGCTGCAATGAATATATATATATATATATATATATATATATATATATATATATATATATATATATATATATATATATAGTCAAAGGTACGATGCAATACATCTTTAGCAACTTTTTTTTTACTGTATATTATTGGATTAAGAGTCCTTAGTTCGAGGAATATAGGAAAAAAGCTGCATTTTGTTTGGCCGAGTGTGCTTGTACTTAAGAACCGGTCACTGCCGACCTACACAGTCACGAGAACAGCGATCTAAAGAACTCAGTAATGTAGTTTTTTTGTTTTTTTATGTGTGTTGCTAAAAATTGATGTAGCTTTTAGCGTGTGCAATAACTAGGACCCAGAAAAACATGGGGCACACAGGCGCGAACTTTTCATGTATGTCTATTTCGAGCTCACGGACACAGAGAGATTGTAGTAAACCGTTTTTATTGACCAGTTTGTCGGCACCCGTGTATGGTTGGTCGCCACAGTCCACGTAGCCGTTAACTACGTGAGCTGAGCCGGCCACCCATATGCGAGTAACCTAACGTGCCCCCATATGCGAGTTCTAAGTAACGTGTGAGTTCCCGTCCACTTTTCACGTCAATGCTTCGATACTACGCATGTAAGAAAGGTCGACTGTTCGATACCCGACACAAATGGTCGATCCACCAGAATCTTTGAAAGCCTGAAGAGCAGAAGTTTCGAACACGTTTCGAAACTTTTTCGGCGCTTTCGGCGCTTTCGATGCAGCGTCTGCGGCATTCTTTGATGAACTGCGGCGACGATGACGCCTCTTTCGGATGGTCCTGACAGCCTCTCTATGCGACGAATTGTCTCTGACCATTTGTTTCAATACCGCTATTTCTCTTTGGATTTTGGGGCATTATTTTGACGAAGCTGCATGTGACCTATGACAATTCGAGCATTTGAGGGTAGTTGCAACGTGCAAGGTTCGAAAAGTTTCGAACCTTGCACGTTGTGCTAGCGGCACTGCCCGCACATTACCTGCCTTAGTACTAAAAAAAAAAAACAAGAAAAATTAACGAGTATGTCCATCAGCTGTATATACATGACTGGCCGCTAGCATTCTTTTTACGAGGCAGGCCTAGTGCTCACCACGTGATGAAACATGGCCATGGGACAAAAACCAGATATTTATTTCGTAAGTCGGCCTTCAAATTCCAGTCATTCTGCAAATCAGTACCGACGTTTCTCAAAACTCGACTCCAGATCCCCTTCGTAAATTAGCTGTGTGCGCTTGGTATACTAAGAAGGCTGAAGTTTGAAACGCTATAGCTTTCGTACTATTCAAGCACCCCCCCCCCCCCCCCCCTCCTTACCTCGGGGCAGTTACGGCTGAAACGCTTTCGCTTCAACCTTCACTGCCCCGACAATCGCGCGACTGCATTCAGTGACGGCGGCTCACTGTCTCGGAGGTGTGTTTAGATTCCTGCTGTAATGTACCCAAATCTCGAACGAGTTCTAAACCTTCGATTTGCGTGTTCACTTAAACCTCGACCACTGAAGTATATGGTGTGCGAACCTCGGGCGTTCCAAGCATGTTAGCTATTAAATTAAATATGATCGAGCTCATAAAGCTCTGCATTTTCATGCATGCTTTGTATACTACAGTTGAGTTGTGGCAGCTTTATATTTATTTATTTATTTATTGAAACCAACGTCATAACAAGTAAATCTTCATAACACCCAAGCTCTGTATGCTTACGTGTCGTAAAATGAAGATATTTATGGCACTTTAAGATGTAATTCAAGTTAGAAAGAAGATATTCTTTAGCTATTTCCAAAACTTCGCACAAGTTAGGCGTCATCTTTTTATACGAGAAAAAAGCATTGTGCAGTGTTTCCACAGCTCCGTAAATAGACCAGCGCTTCTTTCACCCATGCGTAGTCTGTTCCAATCTGTAGCATATGCCTCTGAGCCTTTCTATCTCCGTGCCTCTGAGCCTTGAAAGTTGAACGAAGTATGTGGTCGTTCAGGTATGCGCACAAATACGTGGCAATCCGGCTCTATTGCAGACGCTTTTCACTGAGGCAGGGAGGAATTGAGACTCAAACAGGGCCTTTAGAGGAAGCCTTTAGAGGAAAAAATATGACCGTTTCGCTAGCTAGCGAAATGGTCATATTTTTTTTTTTTGCTTCTTGAGGCTTGTGTAGCCATTTTAGGTGTGGTACAATAAAAACATGGCACCTTTGTATCACTTACATGGTTAAAAGAAGACGTGATTTGGTGCGATCGACTAAGAACATTATTGTTGAATACTAAAAATATGTTTAGGAGACGCCGCACTAGAAAACGAAAAAGACCACCTCCTTTCTATCATTAGTGAGCGCATTATAAGTCAACGCTGTGAGAATCAGCGTGCATAATAAGAAAAAAAATTTACTTAGTAACGTGAAACACTGCGCGTTTTCTTTTGTGCAACGTTTTCGAAGTTTCCTTGGTCGAATCTTCAATAGTAGAAACCATTGGTTGTGAATATAAAATAAAGTGTGTGCATGTCGATATCAGAAAGCAGTACAGGTATGGATTGTTGGCGGCAGCAAATATTTTGCCTAATTGTCGCGTAATGATTTGAAAGGTTCTTTTTTTCAATAGTCCTTAAATATACTTCTCTGTATTATTTCTAAGGATAAGAGAAAACTCTAGCCGAACATGATGTATTAGTGAAGGGGAATGACCACAGCGAAGAAGCTGTACTTGTGAACTGCGATTTCGGGCCAAGATAACCTGAGTGGCATCTGTCTTTTTATCACTGGTATTATTGTGGAGTATTACTACACGATATCATTTTCCGCAAATTTGGGTGTACTTGTAGAAAAACGCAGTTAGTGAATGAAGTGGAAGAAATACAGCACGAACCAAACGAACAATTAGTGGTCTAACAATTGGTTAAGTATGCGCTGATTCCACCTAAACTATCTTCCTTGATGTTCCCTTCAAGATTTAGGACCAAAAATGTGTTTGGTCTTGGGATGCCTTCCAAGGTAAATTCCAAAGTGTTGATGAAGTTTCAGACTGTTGACGTGAAACTTGATTATACTTTACACTTACCAGCAATCCTTGTGTACACTTTAAAAGATGCCTGCTCTGAGAAATGTATAGTGTAAGAGCTATACTCGGCGACAACTTTTCTTGGCACTGAAGGGAAAGCCACGGAGACGGAGCTTTAACACATGTAGCACTACGCGAAGTAGTCCGTTTCGGTGCGCGTCTCGTAATTCTGCGCAATGTGACGGGGGAGCACCATCAGTGTTTCATGTAGACGCAGACGCCGCTCAGCGTTTGAGGTGCACGTATAGAAAGGCGAAACTTTCCCATGCATTCAAAAAAGTGAAGTCACGACAGATCAATTAAGATAAATATATGGCGTGAGCTGCGCCCGGTCTCAAATAGATCCACGTCAAAAATAAAAGGAGGAACATTTATATTTCACGTTGAAAATGTGGGCGTTACTTTATAACTACCCTCACTGGCGGCAGGATGCACGCGGTTTGGCTCTGTAGTTTTCCCTTCAGTGCCAAGAAAAGTGTCACCGAGTGTAGTCAATTTTTTTCTACGCAGAGATCCCCATAATTTTTAATCATGTTTATTTGTCAACTTCAGTTGCGTGACTCAAACCGTGCTGGGCAATGGCAACAACTACTACTTGTTCAGCAGCTCGCACGTAGCGTTTAGTTAGTGACAGAGTGAATCAAAAGCCAGAGTGTTGTCGAGCCTGTCACCGCCATTGTGTAATCGAGGCCACATGAAACACCAATATCGGATGGTAGCGCTTTCATGTGAGTTTATACTGTTTCCTGGAGGATTCCTAGTGAAATATTATCTATTGGTTTCATGAATGTTGGGCGCAATATGATTGGTATGCTTTAACACTTAAAACACTATTTGACTTCACAGCATTGGCTCCACGTAATGACAGAATGGAAATATCACTTGCGTGTAAAAAACTTGCACATATGGTCTTCAGATCTATATTTAGGACAATGAACCCATTCATTGGTGCAAAAAGCACTACAGAAGAATGCGTTTCATAGCGAAATCTCGTCCATGTTTTAAAAGTATTTGAAGCGTGTAGGTTTTAGTTTCCTATCAACACAATTATGTTCTCGGTCACTAAGGTTGTCTTAAGGTGACAAATATTTTGAGAAACAATGCGGGATAGATGTTTTGGTCTTGCAGAGTAAAGGTAGCTAAAGTTGCTTTGTTTTTTTTTTTTTCCTTCTCTTCGATTTTTACGCAGTAACAGTGGACGACCAGCGGTCAATAGCAAGCTCCATCGACAGCAGGGCAAGCGGGAGCCGGAACTTCGAGAACATCAAAATAGAATGGAAGAACCTACGCTTTACGGTTAAGGAGGGAAAGGGTGAGTAGAGGCGATTGATGAGCCACCTTTGCCTGGAATCACTCGTGACAACCTAAAGCAGCCGCAAGCATTTTTTAAGCTACAGTGTTATCAGTTGTACTGGATTTCACACGCACCTGCAACTCACTCATGAAAAAAAAAAAAAGGAATCTGGTTTGCCATTTGCCAGGTGATTAGGCACTGCACCTGCGTAATCCATAAAAAAGAATGAAAACGTGGCTGTTGATATGGAGAAGAGAAATGAAAACAATTGACAAGAATCCGCACAGCAATGATTGAAGTAAACCTGAGTATGACGGGAAAAAAAGAAAAACAGAAGAACGGCGAGGCTAGCCGGATCGCTGCCCTTTTTAGAGAAGGGGATGATGTGAATAAAAGATGTCAGAAAAAAATGTTACGAAAAATATGGTGAAGTGGGGGGATGGGGGTGGAAAACCATAAAAGACGCTGCTTAGAGTTTGTCTCTAAGACCAGTTATCCGAAAAAAAAGAGAGAATAAACTGATAGCTTTCACAGCGTTCTCTGCTGAGGACATTCTCGGCCAGTGTTTTGAGGCTCTCTCCTCCGACACTTGGCGATCGTCAGGTCCATCTAACACTTTTGACAGTTCTTTCATTCGCGCATTGAAATGGGGACGTTCAGTGATTCAGCGATTGAGTTGTGTACAGCCGTATATAGAAGCAGGAAAGATATTGTTACAGGTCGCTTGTAATCATGAATGAATACACTACTTTGCAGGACATATTTCATACCGAACCCTCCCAAGATAGCGTGAACACTAGCACAGACACGCAAACAAACGCACACACACGCTAACGCGTGCGTCGGGGGTTAAATGCTAGTACGTGAGTGTAATCCCAAAGAAGGGAAGTGTGACATTTTTTCATGAGTATAACGAAAATCAACGTGATATCTGAATGAAAGTTCAAGGGACGTTTCTTGTCATTCTGAGTGAACTGTCGAGACATACCAATGGACCAAGTCACGGTGTAACGAGATATAGGGTACCATGACGACACGTGCGCCAAGGGATCGGATTTTCCTGCCCGTACGGTGAAAAAACGAAGTTAGAAGCACCACCCCTTCTGCAAAATACTCATCCGCACGAAAATTCCTACGCTGCCAAATCACCGCGCCGGTGTATCTCCGTGCCCTTCGCGTGACTCAAAACTTCCTTCCCTCTGCGCTCATTGAATCGAGGCGCGGCTGGACTCGACCAATGTTTCAGTCGCTGATCAGGCCGCCTTGCAACATCTTAAGCCATTTCAAGGTTGACGAACCACCAGCTTTCACTTTTTTGTCCCTTCGTCTCTTGCCCCCAAAGCTATAGCGTCGGACGTTACGTGAGAATGGAGACGGAAGGGATAGCGGTTGAACGAATGCATGGCATTGAAAGCCGAAGAAGATTGCGCTGCTTGAGTGAGGGCATAAGAGGGAGACACATGACACAGGCGCTAATGCACCCACGATACCAAATTTCAACTCCTCCATTTAGAATATTTGTAAGCTTATGATGTATAAGTAGTAAGAAGCAGCTTGACATGGTTGGGCTCAACCGCAGCAAGAATTAAGCTCGTGTTTTCTTTCGTTCAAGAGCTGAACGGATTATGGAGAATAGCAGTTGTGAAAACGTAGCGGGCCAAGATAACCGCATTATTCGTCATTGTGCTGTGTACGAAAGGCATGCACGAACGTGTGATGCGTGCGTATCACGTCCGCTGTTTTCACGCTCATTGCTTGTGTTCATGTCGTAGTCTGTGTGCAAATCACTGACGTCAGTGCATGGTACACAGCAGTTACAAGCGTGTTATGATAACAGAAAATATATATACCAAGAACTCGCTTGCTGTATTCGTTGAAAGCAACGATCGGGCACATTATAGGGCTTGAACAACGCCTATCTATTTAGTGGCACATGTTTGGCGTAAACTTCCTTGGTTCGCCGAAGGCGAAAAATCCACAGATCTGCACGAAGTGAATGGTATCGAGTGGACGAAGCTTCTGAGTATCGTATCGGTGCGTAACCGTAGGTTACCCGAGGGTTTCCTCGCATAATGTAAATTGACTGCCATAACGGGTATATAGAAACGTAAATTGATTTCGCCTTCTAGTCTCTTTAGGTAATTCAAGGAACATTTAGAAAGTTGCTAGAGTGAGGATATGTCTTGAAGTGTTTAGAAAAAAGTGTTTACTAGTTTTGAATACTTCGTACTCATCTATGGGGGAGCAGTGAGCCTGTCCCTATACAAAGTTCAGACCAGCAGTACATGGCGACAGCCATGGGGTAATCTGCGTTAAGAAAAAGTGGGTAACAATTTCGAGTACTCGGCACTCTACTGTGGGAGAGCATATAGCCGTCCAATGAGGATCAGGCATTAGCTAAACGGAACTGTCACCAGGCCAACTTAGGAAGGATAGTTCACCATTTCAGTAAGGGAAATTTGTTGGCACATATAGTGCCTGACGCGTGCCTTTGTTTTACAGGTTTGCCCGAGAAGTCTCAACATCTAGGCACATTATAGCAGAGGTCAACTGATCCATCTTCTTCTCGATAGGTTAATTTTAGCGGGAACAGCAATCTCTTATCTTATAAGTACAGTCTATGTCTACCTTAAAGTATATTGCAAAACTTTTTCTTGTGTGCCTCACATACGTTTCGAGTATAGCAACAGTTCTATTCCGTGATCACAACTGATTCCGAATACAGGATCAGGTCTTAAAAATCGTCGCCCCTGATACAAAGTGAGATATAGTTGTTGCTGGTGCGTGTGTTCATAGCTTCCCCATTATGTATGCGCCTATAGGTGGACCGCGCTAGTATTCGCGATCTCGAAATACATGGCATTCGAATACGTGTACAAGTTAAACAATTGGCAGATCCCACGTACAGTGGAAATCGATGATATGCGAAGCACGAAAGATAAAAGTTGATATGTAATTTTAAAATCAGCACAACGTTACGAAGTGGAGGTAAATGATGCCGTACATGACTTCCGTGTCATGATTATCATGTTTGGTTCTGTCGTTTGCCTTTGTCCTCTATTCACGTCACGTGATACCAAAATTAGTAAATGTAAAGCTAGCGAAACGACCGCAAGCACGCTATGAGCGTGGTATGGTGTTATGTTCTTACATGACACGCATGTCAGGATTATCATGTTTGCACCAGTCATATATTTCGTCATCCATTGACGTCACGTAACACCAAATTTTGTATATGTGGAGCTAGCAAAACGGCCGCGGGTGCATCAAGAAGGACCCATTATACTACAATGTAGCATTGACGCGCGAGCACGCTGGGCACAGCGACGCTACGTTAGCAAAATGAGAGCACTCTATAAACTGACGCCAGGCGCGATCGGTGCGAACAGCGTCTGTCGGAGCGACCCGACGGCAACCGGCGCGAAATGCGACATGCTGCACTTCGTGTCGATGCGTTACCCAGACTACACTGCGTCTCCCTCTTTCCGTGACGGAGGGACGCCGGACGTGCTGAAACGTGCATGCGTCAAAGCAACGCAGCGCGGCGCGCACCTTCGAGTATATGACAGGACCCGCACCTGGCGTAGCAACGCTGGCGTGACACGACGAAATGAACGCCAGCGAGCACGCGCACCGCGTCACGTCGAAATGTATTGGCGCCTTGACTGTGGCATGTAGTCATGTTCTGACATGACACGCATCGTATGATTATCACGTTTGCACCAGTCACATACCTTCGTCATCCATTGACGTCACGTAATACCGAGTTTCGTACATGTGAAGCTAGCGAAATGGCCGCGAGCGCATCATGAGCGTATAGCATGAAGTCATGTTGTTACATGACAGGCATCACATGTTTATCATGTTTGCACCATTCACACACCTTCGTTATCTATTCACGTTCCGTAATACCGAATTTGGTATATGTAACGCTAGTGAAATGGCCGCGAGTGCATCATGAGCGTGGCATGTAGTCATGTCACGCATGTGATGATTTTCATGTTATTGTCTGTTGCTTGTGTATGCCATGCAATCATGCCATACCATACCACTTTTGAAGCATGCCATGTGAATTAAACCACCGCAAGAGCTGCAGGACCACGAAATGTAAATCATGACATTCATGATATACATGCCATGATTTTCATGTTATGACTAGTCAAATATGTTCTTCATGCAGTCATGTTATTCCATACCAAGTTTGGTATCGATACAATTTTCGAAACGGCCATTGATTGATTGATTGATATGTGGGGTTTAACGTCCCAAAACCACGATTTGATTATGAGAGACGCCGTAGTGGAGGGCTCCGGAAATTTCGACCACTGGAAGTTCTTTAACGTGCACCCAAATCTGATTTCGAAACGGCCAGGAGAGCTAAAAGTCGTAGGCGGCTAGATAGATAGACAGATACGCTCAAAGTCGCCGAAGTTCGCTAAGAAATGCTTCGCATTTAAAACGAAAAAAGCTCGTGCGTCCATGCAGCTGCTGAATTTATGTTCTTGTTGCCTTACATTATGCGGTCCCTACGCAGGACCCTGGTACACCCATTTCAATGGTAGGCAAACTACCACCTATATTATGAACTGAGGTATTACGTTTCTCGGGTCTACAAATAAAGTTATTCCATCCATCCTTTCATCACGTACGCCTAGACAAACTTTGATACGACACATTTAATTAATAGAAAATTGAAAAGCATGCGCAGACATACCCTTAGTATTTAAAATAAGGGTGGAACAAGTAAATGAACCTCTAAATTGTACCTTTTTCACGCACCAATCAGGCATTATTTCCGTGTGTGCGCAAGATGTGCACATTCAGCGTCTTGTGCGGCTACGATCTGCCAGCAGCCTCAGTCATGCCTGGTGTGCTTGTGATGGTATACTCATTTCAGGCTATCACAGCTGTCAGGAGGGCGTTGCGCTTTTTCTGTTAATCGTAAATTTTCGCACCGTCTTTGAAGAAGGATTCTTGCCGGAAGTATTGCTCGCACCTCAAATTTGTGTGTGTTTTGG